ATGCATGGCATTATGGTGGTTGTTTCTATAGTTTAGTTGAAAGTTTAACTCATTAAAATCTGCAAACTTTTCTTCAAGGGGGACATAGGTTGAAGGGTTAAATTTTGAACGAGACAGCACTTTTAGATCTGTAGAGTTCAAAGTTTGACCTGGTATCTAATCAGCAGAAGAGGAGCACTATTGAACCGAGAGAATTTTGACTTATTTTGTAATGCACAGTGTCACCAATTTGGATTGCCTGCTTAAAAAAAAGTAATCAGTTGCTACCTTTGGTGTTGGGACATGAGGAATTGCTTGTTTTTAGTAGCAAAGTATGAAAATTGTTAATTGTTGTATTAGATTTCCACGCAGGATATATGAACTGTGTGATTTATATGTATATTTAATAGCAATTATTTTTAAGTTTTGGGCTTTTGGATTTTGAGTTAGTAGCATTTGTGTTTCCTGTGTGTCTGAAGTCAATAATTAACTTAGAGTAGGAATAGTGATTTCTTTTAAAATAATTTTGAGACAGCGACTTTAACAGCAATAATAGGTTTTGTTTATTTTAGGATTTTACAGTTTAGCAAGGTAGATAAGTGTTCCTCAAGGCTTCCGTTAGACATTTCTGGACTACAAGTTTATTTGAAGCTTAAGGCTTAAGTATACATAGTGTGGAGAGAGACTTTTGTTTCAGTTATACATTGTTTTGGGAAGTCCCTCCAAGGAGGTAGACATATACAGCAATGGCCCTGAGAACCGGAGAATATAGTAAAAATAAATTTTCCTTTTGAAAAGAGTCGGTGATAGTCCTGAACCAAAAGTGTTAGGCTAAAACCCTAGAGGTTACTCAGGTGTATGATAGCTACATGTAAGCAAGCTATCAGAAGTTCTAATCTAAGGGTTTTAAGTCATATTGAAGTGTTAAAGAAAAATTTATGGATTCTGGTGTGAGAACTGTACAATGGGAGCTTTTGGGTACTACGCAAGGGATTTGGAAGTTTTTTTGGAATTACTAAGGAATGGTTTTGGGATTAATGGGATTACTGTTCTAATGTGTGTTTAAAAATATTTGCATTAATGTTATACATAAATAGTTCGGTTCTTCCTAGTTATCTTCATTTCTTTTGACTAACAGACTTGTTTTATTTTTAACACAAAATCCATAAGATTATGTACTTATGTTTCAGTGAGACACTACCTTGTTAAAACCAAAACACAATATGATCCATCAAGCCAAGTTTCAGTCTGGGGTCTGACTTGTCCAGTAATAACAACTGGGATCAAAACAATAGTAAATTCCATTACAAGAAATATTATAAAGCATGTTGCATTTACCTTGGTTTCAAAACCGATTTCTCATTTGTTTTATTCCCAGAGAGGTAAAAATAGTAATTGTGGGAAATAAATTCACTGGACATCAATTTTGAAGTATACGAGATGAGTTGGACCAATATGTCTTGTTTGCCAGTTTTTTTCTGTTTTTTTTTACTCCTGGGTTAAAATGTACCACAATTTTAATTTAAATTAAAAATGTGATAATTGATGTTCTGCTTTACTGTACTCTGTGAATGGTGATAGTCATGTCATTATCCACCTCTGATGCATAATACAGTTTCATCTCTAGATTTCACAATTTTTAAAATAATCTTTCCTTTGACCTTTTCTTCCCTTTTCCTTTTTTGATTTGGGAAAGAAACCTGAAAAATAAATAAAATACCGTGTTTATTGACACCGTGTGCACTGTGTACTGCTTAAATTTACAGATGTGCATTTAAATGGGTTTGGCTTTAAAGTCACCCCAGCTGTGATTGGGGGAGGGAGGGGAAAGATGGAAGAGAGAGGGGCTTCGCATCTTGACTCCACCCATTCCTAATCTGATGTCCTCGCTCCCCTCCCGCCGTCCTTGCTCTCTGTCACACCCCTGCTGAACTCCATTTCAATGCCCCATCTTCACTTTCCTACACACGCATACAAATTCCTTTGCGTATGATGTCATTGAAATTTTTATGTAATCTTTCAGAATTTCTCAAAGTCATAGAGGCATACAGCACAGAAACAGACTCTTTGGCCCAACTTTTCATGCTCACCAGGTTTCCTAAACTGAACTAGTCTCATGTGCCTGCATTTGACCCATATCCCTCTAAACTTTTTCTATCCATGATCCATATACCTGTCCAAATGTCTTTTAAATGTTGTAACTGTACCCACCTCCTACCACTTCTTCTGGCAGCTCATTTCATAGATGCACCACCCTCTGTGTGAAAGTTTCCCCTCTTGCCTTAAACCTATGCCCTCTAGTTTTAGACTCCCCTACCTTGGGAAAAGACCTTGGCTATTCAGCATACCTAACATCACATGATTTTACAAACCTCTGTAAGGTCACTCCTCAGCCTCCTATGCTTCAGGAAAAAAGGTCCAGCCTCTCCGTATAAGTCAGACCTTCCAGTCTCAGTAACATCCTTGTAAATCATTTTTGCACCCTTTCAAATTTAATAACATCCTTCCTTTAGCAGGGCAACCAGAATTATATGCAGTACTCCATGTGGCTTTAATACGACGTCCTAACTCCAGTATTTAATGCTCTGATCAATTGAAGGTAAGTGTGTAAACGCTGCCTTCACCACCTTGTCTCCCTGTACTGCCACTTTCAAGGAACTCTGTACGTGTTCCCCTAGGTGACTCGTTTTGACAAGATTCCCAGGGCCCTACCATTAACTGTATTGTCCTTCCCTGGTTTGTTTTACAAAAATGCAACACCTCACATTTATCTGAATTAAACTCCATCTGCCAACATCTACCGTTCTGCCTTTATTTATCTTCTTGGTCTCCTCTTCAAAAAAACTGAATCAAATTTGTGAGACACTATTTCCTATGCACAAAGCTGTGCTGACTATCCCTAATCGGTTTTTGCCTTTCCAATTGTATGTAGATCTTGTCTCTCAGAATCCCCTCTAACAACTTGCCCACCACTAACGGTAGGCTTATTGGACTGAATTCCCTGGCTTTTCCTTGCAGCCTTTCTTAAATAATGGCACAACATTAGGCACCCTGCAGCCTTCTGGCACCTAACCCCATGGCTGTTGATGATACAAATATCTCTGCTAGGGACCCTGCAATTTTTCCGTAGCTTCCCACAATATCCTGGAATACAACTGATCAGGTCCTGGGGATTTTATCTACCTTTGTGTTTTAATACGTCCAGCATCACCTCTTCTGTAATGTGGACTCTTTTCAAGACCTCACTATTTACTCCTCCCAAGTTCCCTAGCTTCCGTGTCTTTCTCCACAGTAAATACTGAGAAAAAATATTCATTTAGGTTCTCACTCATCTCCAGTAGCTCCACAAGTAGATGACCTTGTTGATATTTAAGGGGACCCTATTCTCCCTAGTAATTCCTTTGCCCTTAATATACTTGTAGAATCTCTAGATTCTCCTTTACCTTATCTACCAAAGTGATCTCGTGTCCCCTTTTTGCCCTCCTGATTTCCCTCTTGTTTGTACTCCTACACCCACTATACTCCTCAAGGGATTCACTTGATTACAGCTGACATATGCCTCCCTCTTTCACTTGATCAGCGCCTTAATATCTTATGTCATCCAATGTTCCCTATTTGTGCCAGCCTTGCCCTTCACTCTAGTAAGAACATACTGTTTTTGAACTCGTGTTGTCTGTTTTTGAAAGCTTCCCATTTGCCAGGCAAGTCTTTACCTGCGAACAACCTTCCCCAATCAACTTTTGAAAGTTCCTGTGTAATACCATCAAAATTGGCCTTGCCCCAATTTAGAACTTTAACTTGTGGACCAGACTTATCCTTTCCATAACTATTTTAAAACTAATAGAATTGTGGTCACTAGTCCCAATGTGCTCCCCCACTAGCACTTCAGTCACTTGCCCTGCCTTATTTCCCAAAAGGAGGTTGAGTTTTGCCCTTTTTCTAGTCATGTACACATCCTCGTCTCTGGATTACCATACACATGCATTTGTGAGCAACACTGGGTGTCAACAGACACTGCCTAAATAAAAACAGAATATGCTGGAGAAAGCCAGCATGTCTGGCAGCCTTTTGGGGAGAGAGAAAAATAGTTAATATTTCAAATCCGGTGTGACTTCTTCAGAATGAAAAAGAGATGGAAGTTTGGTGTGATTTATGCTGTTTTTAAACGGGGGAGATGAAAATGGAACAAAGCAAAAGCTAGAGGGCAGGGCAGATTAGAGATCAAAGGTGCCAGGGAACAAGACAGCAAAGGGCATATCATGCTTGTGAGTTCAGAGTTGGTGCTAATAGCAGAATGAAGGCCAGCTTTAACTGAAAGCAGAAGTGTGAAAACAAGGTGCCAACATGAGCGAGGATGTATCAAAATGGACAAGAGGGATCGTGGTCTAAAATTGTTGAACTGAAGCCGAGGATCCACCTCATCAGAACAAGAGTAAATGATCATCATTGTTTGTCTTTCATTTTGGAAAACTTAAACATTATGCAAGATTATAACAACCTGTTTTTGATATTTCCTTCATCCTGTGTACTATTTCAATTTGATACTCGGTGTGCAAAACCCCAGTCATCTGATTAGATAACTTAAATCCAAGTACAACTCCTAGAAATTGTGGATGTCTGGTAAAGACAGCTTGATATTTGCCTGTGATGCTGAATAAGCAGCTGATGTTTACTGCTTAGTCAATGCATGGGCAAAGTATCAAAAACTGTCAGTGTCAAGGAACCCTGGTATGAAAGTTTGGTAAACTTGGAAAGTTTGAAACTGTGTCATTGCCCTCAGCAGAGAACAGAACAAAGTGAACACGCCATATGTTGAGCAACTCTAAAATACAGTTCACAATGAAACCATTCATCAGTTTATGAGAAGATTATTTCATACAAAATCAGTTTGAGAAAAACACACTAATAGTTGTTTGAGTACAGAGATGCTCTTTAAAGTTTCACAAAGATCTTTCCCTTCTACTTGAAGTGAATTTGACCACAGTAAAGTTTAGTTTTTAAATTCTCTGGTTTTTCTTTAGGGATGGTGGGCTATGGCATGGCAAAGGCGGCTGTTCATCAGCTCTGTCAGAGTCTAGCTGGAGAGAAAAGTGGAATGCCCCCCGGATCTTCAGCTCTTGCAATTTTGCCGTAAGTGTCTGTAATTATAGTACCTTGCACTACAGTAGCCTTGATAATGTTCAGTGCCCCATTAGAAAAGAAAATTACTCGTGACTTTCATAATGGCATCTGGGGTAAAGTGACAGAGATCGAAAGCTGATATTTAGAGTGTTAGAGTCAAAATATTTTAGTGATTTTTTAAACACGTCTTTTCAGTGTGTTAATTATTTTACGGTTCTGTAAGAAGGTTGTGTTTTGAGTGTAAAATGATAGAACAAACATTTGTTTATTTATGCTTTATCCTTAGGATTTTCCAAAGTGTTTGAAACCGGTTAATTACTTTCGACAGAGATAGTAGGAACTGCCGATGCTGGAGAATCTGAGATAACAAGGTGTAAAGCTGGATGAACACAGCAGGCCAAGCAGCATCAGAGGAGCAGT